ACACGACCAAGACAAAAACTCGGTATTTCGTAAACAAAATAAAAAAAAAAAAAAAAAAAGGATTTCTTCATAACACACGGGAAAAGAGCCAGGGAAACAGAGTTAACGATAAAACCCCTTAAAACCATGAATTTCATACCCGGTACCAAACGCCTCACGGACTGGTGGTTGGGGACCACTGATTTAGAACAGTCCAAATTCGAGGGCCTTTCCTCATGTAGATAACAAACTGCAATTCAGTAATAGGGGCATTTTGTCTGCCCAAGAAAAAGAAGCTTGCCTTATATGTGACATTAGCAACTCCTTACAAATCTATTATAACAAATTAATTTTTTATTAAAAAATAAATAAATCAGCATTAAATCATCTTTATCAGAGGACTGAAATTCAAACAAACAAAAATATTTTACACAGTCAAAAACTGCTGTGATTGTACCACCTTCAAATACAGTAATGTAAAGTTCGTCTGTCTGTACCTTAAGATTTAAATAATGATCATTGGCTAAAACTTGCTGTATTCCTGATGCAGCCCTCCCCATTTCTCCAGGCCTGGGATCCAGTGCTAAGAGTATATGTGCACACTTCTTAAGTATTTACCTTTTGCAAGTTAAAAAACTCAATCTGAAATATGCAGGCAGACATTTCAGTCTTCACCTGCTTACAACTAAATCAGTGGTTTCCAAACTCTTTTTGCTAGGCCCCCCTTTGTTTTACAAGAAAAATGTTCTCACTGTAACTTTACTGTATAAAGAGCTAACATCTCCAAAATGTCAGGAGTAGTTCTGACATTCTAAAAATCAAGAATGTGGGATACTGTTTGTCTGTGATTTAAACAGCCCAGCATGTGCACCCAATGAAGGGGAAACCAATGCTGTAGGGGAGACCAAAGGGAAGACATGCTTCACCATATTTTCTAGTCTTTGGCTTGGAATGAAGTTGGTTTGGAAACATATTCAGCTATGCTTCATCTCCTGCTTTGCGTTTCTGTGGGGCCCCGTGCTAGCAGTGTCCAAGCGTTTTGCTCCCTTTTCATACCGTGCCCCCCCTGCAATGGCTCTGCGCCCCCCCCAGGGGGCGGGCCCCACACTGTGGCAAGGTCTGAACTAAATAATGATATATCCGTCAACATATTTATTTGGATACTTTAACATGGGGACCAGCTCACTGTTAAGAGCCACTAGTGGACACTAGAGGGACTGCAGGTTTTGGTGTTTTGTCTGCAGCCACCCCATCAAAAAACCGTAGAAACGCCCCTGAATGATGGATGTGACTGGAGAAGACATGAAAAGCAGACAGGTCCGCTTTGAAGGCGTTTTTTAATGCAGATTTGTGATATTTCCGCAGTGCTTGTGTACTCAGCTGCCGGTAAAGGTCATGTGGAGATTCAGTACCGCTGCAGGGGAACCGGAGGAGTCGTGACTTGCAGCCCGGTGCGGTGTCTCTTTAAGCGCAGGGCGGTGAGCAGATTTCCGATCGTGCACGAAGCGGATTACAGTCCCTGACATCAGTCCTCCTCATCCTCCTCCTCTTCCTCCTGCTCCTGTTCCTGCTGCTCAGCTGATCCGGAGGATTCCCTCTGCGGGGACACTCAGCACAGCCCCGCCTGTATGCTCGCCTCCGCTCGCCTCCATCATGGACTTCAACGTGAAAAAACTGGCTTCTGATGCGGGGGTCTTCTTCACCCGGGCCGTGCAGGTAAGACCGGACCTCCCTCCAGCTGCAGGCGGTGATGTGTGGACCGATTTACTGCTAGGCTCTCACTGCATCCCGTTGGGCCTGGAGCTCGATTAAAGCATCTGAAGCCTTGCGTTTTCTTCGTGAGGTCTGTGGGTATAACGGAGTGTATTTGTGTGGCGTGTTTTCCATGCAGACCGAGCAGCCCGCTGCGTGTAAGCCGATAAAGGTTTGTCTAGCCTCGATCCATTATTGATGGCTGTGATCGGGTGCATCACCCATGTGACTCCAGCAGACTCTGTCCTGCTCCCCTCCAACTCCCCAACATAGAGATTCATTCATTTATCTGGCTCACCAGCAGTAAACAGCATTAAATCCTTCACTCTCGAGAACTTGTACACCAAACCTCATTCGAAAAATTGGAAATTCATTGATAAAGTCTGTGCTACGAGTCAGGTAATGAGCAGAACAATACTGGATCTTTAGGCTTCAGTAAGAAATTCGGCAGCCATATGATACACTTTTTATTAAAAGCTTAAAAAGGTCTCCCATCTCACTCAACAAAGAAAGAGAAGACATCAAAACTGTATTTAAAACGTTATAATCAGGATACATTGAATTGTTACAGTAAGAAGCAAATATAAGATTAAAGTAAAAAAAAAAATGAGGGCACTTCAAAGAGTCAAGTTTTTAAGCCCTGTTTCAAACGAACTCACCATATTTTCAGGATGTTTGTTCCACAGCTGGAGAGCATGAAAACTGAAAGCTACTTCACTTTGTTTAGTTCCCATTTGTCGCAAGTAAATTCACATGCATCTATACCCAAGTTCATTTAGTGCTGCGTAGACTAAGAGCTGGGTTCTTGGGATCCCCTTTGGGCATTAGTGGGTGAGTTGCAGTTGTCTGTCACCTGTAAAGACAATAGTCTACAGTGCAGGAGGTCAAACTGACTTTCATTAAAGGCTGAAGTCGGTTTGGGATCACATCAAGGGCCACATAAAAACAGGGTCTTCTGTATAATATTGTTGAACATTGTGGATAGAATTTAATCTGCATAAAAGCCTCAATGACGCAACAAAAATTCAACAAGTTGCCTCATTGTTTCTGAGCAAGTCGAGCACAACAGCTGCTTATTTTCACTGTTTCTGTTAAAATCCTGAACATGGATCCACGTCACACCAACTCTGCAGTTAGAGCTGGATGTTGTCCATGAGCTTAAAAACTTGTGGTCTGACCAATGCATGAACAATGCATGAATGCATTTTTTCTGGGGGGGGTTTTCTAGTCAGAAATCATTGAATTTATTGCTAAGTTATTATGCTGTTAAAGATTTCTTTATTTGAAGAGTGACACTTCATCCTATCCAGACAGAGGCTCTTCTGACTTCACCAAACATGAACGTTCACAGTATAATTCAAAGATTAAAATAATGTATTTTAAATCATTTAAGAATAATATTAATCAATAAAAGGAGAAAAGTCCAGTGAAGCATATTAACTGGTTTATTCTGCACACTGCTGCTCCTATTGGAAAAAATGAACCCATGAATGCAACAAGGTCAGACTGCTTTCCTGGAGGTTGTCCAAGTGCATTGTGGGAAAACACAGGAAACCAATGAAGGCAGGAAGCGGGATAAAAAAACAAACAAAAAACAGCTCTGCACAACACCAGAAAACCATTAACTGTTTCTGTATTTTACATGTCTACACGTGTCATATATGACTCACGGACTGGGAGTGAAAGGGTTCCTGCACACTGACTTTAAAAGTCTGACCAACCATTAGTGAGACACTAAGAGAGAGAGGGAGAGAAAGAGACTCAGTCGTTGTGTGTGTGTCTCTTTGTGGTTGGTGCTGCCAGGGCCGGCCCGTGGCATAGGCCGTATAGACAAATGCTAAGGGCGTCGTCCCTCAGGGGGCGCCACGCCAGTGCCACAAATGTTGAAAAAAAAAAAAGTTGGTACTATTATTTCTAAATACAAAAAATAATCCCACGTTAATTAAAATGCAAAGTAAAGCTTATTTAATAGAAATATTATTTGTTACAACATTACACTACACTGCTGATGTAGGGGGGCGCCACCTAAAATCTTGCCTAGGGCGCCAGATTGGTTAGGGCCGTTTCTGGGTGCTGCGTCTGGGTGCAGATTTTGACACAATGCAACTACAGTACTGGATGTTGTGTTTTAGTGGTGCCAGTGACCAAGCAAAAAACTTAATAAGCAAATTTAAAGACCGTTAGATTAAATTTTGTATTTGGGTAAACACTCAAATTTATCCCAGTTTGACTCTTCAAGATTCAAGATTCAAAAGCTTTATTGTCAATACAGCAGTATACACAGTATACAGAAATTCTGTTTCATCCCAAGCCACCCATGGTGCATAAAAGATATAACTCCAAGTGATATAAAACTAGAAATTGCAAAGTGCTGAGTTAATGTATTTTGCATAGTCCTTAAATTGCTCTGCTGTAAAGGATGGGAACGGTTAATTAAATACCCACAAATTAATTAAAACTTGGTGGACCTACGGCTTTTACAGTCCCTAAGGCCCTAAGTGGAGTCCAGTAATCCAGCCCTGAATAAGAGACTGTCCATCGTAGAGCTCCTGAATACCTGCCAGTACTTTTGCCTTTTAAAGAACCGATCTGGCCCATGAAGCTGCTGTCAGTCAGAGCTTCTCCCTGCTGCTTGGTGACAGTGACGGTGAATTCCTCAGCCTGCCTCTGAAGTCCAGCTGGCCGCCGTCACTGTATGTCAGTCAGATTTGAATGAAAGAAATCATCTGACAGCCCGGCCTGATACCACAGATGGTGATCGTTGGCCTCAGTTATTAGAGAGCAGAACTGGGCCTTCTCATCTTTGATTGCATAAGACATGCTTCAAAGTTCCAGTTAGTGAGAATAAAAACTTATGTGTAAGTTAGAAACTGAGGTTTAAGATAATTTGTCTGGGTCTTAAAATATGATGGGTTTGTTCTGATTATTATAGAATTGCGATCATAAAGATCGAGTAAACGGTGGATGAAGAGCATGAGGACAACTTTAAAAATTAAGATATTTTCACATTGGTTTGTAAAACCTTTGAGATTTTCTGTAATTTCTGTATAAATAAAAACTAAAATGCCATGTGATCCTTTTTTTTTTTTTTAATGAACATCCTTTTGAAGTAGATGAAGAGAACCTTTGGACTTAGTCAAGGATTACCTTTTAATCTTGGGAATGCCAACCGAACAGTGACAAACTCTATTGATTTGGTGGTTTGTTGGTAGATAATTCATTCTGTTAAGTAAGTAATTCAATCTGTGACTTGTTGATTATGTCGCACTTCTTCTAATATGATCACAGATTAAGCATTATTAGAGATTTTACGATATGTACGCTGTGTTCACTGCATCATTCCATGTTTGGCACTGATCACCACCTGCACTCATGTATATATCATGTATATATCTATCTACTTAGCACTTTTAATTCTTATTCTTATTTTTATTTATTTATTTATTTATTTTTTCATGTCTATTTATTATTTATATGACAGTATGTTTGCACTGAAGCACCGCAGCAATTTCCTAATGTTGTAAACCTGCTCAACATTTGGCAATAAAACCCTTTCTGATTCTGATTCTGATATAGTATTCCATAGAAATCTATGCAATAACTGTTGAGATGTTCACTCAAAGCTCCAAACATCAGCCCCATGCAGTCCCTCTCCACCTACGTTGGCCCGTGGCCCAAACGAGAATGGATTCCACCAAAAAAACAATTGGTGCCAGCAAAGTTGGAATGATGTTGAAGTGGCTATTGGACCCCTACAAAGCTTTTGGCAGATGCAGATCAGAATATTCCCCATGAAGTTACCCCAACTTCTGTAAAAATGCTATGTGATGATCAACTCTCAAAACTGTCAAAATATCAGCTGGTTTTCATAATCCAAACCGGCACTAGAACTGTGTGGTGATGGGCAGTGGATGACCTGGTTTAGATTCATACAGTCGTTGTTCTTCTAGAGCTTGTTTGCCTGTTATCAGTGTCATCTACCTGTGGCTTTTCACTCTTAGTTCACAGAAGAGAAGCTTGGCCAGGCTGAGAAGACTGAGTTGGATCCACACTTGGAGAACCTGATCACTCGTGCCGACTCCACCAAGAATTGGACTGAAAAGATCTTAAAACAAACAGAGGTGCTACTGCAGCCCAATCCAAGTAAGTTCTATACATCGTGGAAGTTCCCCTACATATACAGGGAGTGCAGAATTATTAGGCAAATGAGTATTTTGTCCACATCATCCTCTTCATGCATGTTGTCTTACTCCAAGCTGTATAGGCTCTAAAGCCTACTACCAATTAAGCATATTAGGTGATGTGCATCTCTGTAATGAGAAGGGGTGTGGTCTAATGACATCAACACCCTATATCAGGTGTGCATAATTATTAGGCAACGTCCTTTCCTTTGGCAAAATGGGTCAAAAGAAGGACTTGACAGGCTCAGAAAAGTCAAAAATAGTGAGATATCTTGCAGAGGGATGCAGCAGTCTCAAAATTGCAAAGCTTCTGAAGCGTGATCATCGAACAATCAAGCGTTTCATTCAAAATAGTCAACAGGGTCGCAAGAAGCGTGTGGAAAAACCAAGGCGCAAAATAACTGCCCATGAACTGAGAAAAGTCAAGCGTGCAGCTGCCAAGATGCCACTTGCCACCAGTTTGGCCATATTTCAGAGCTGCAACATCACTGGAGTGCCCAAAAGCACAAGGTGTGCAATACTCAGAGACATGGCCAAGGTAAGAAAGGCTGAAAGACGACCACCACTGAACAAGACACACAAGCTGAAACGTCAAGACTGGGCCAAGAAATATCTCAAGACTGGTTTTTCTAAGGTTTTATGGACTGATGAAATGAGAGTGAGTCTTGATGGGCCAGATGGATGGGCCCGTGGCTGGATTGGTAAAGGGCAGAGAGCTCCAGTCCGACTCAGACGCCAGCAAGGTGGAGGTGGAGTACTGGTTTGGGCTGGTATCATCAAAGATGAGCTTGTGGGGCCTTTTCGGGTTGAGGATGGAGTCAAGCTCAACTCCCAGTCCTACTGCCAGTTTCTGGAAGACACCTTCTTCAAGCAGTGGTACAGGAAGAAGTCTGCATCCTTCAAGAAAAACATGATTTTCATGCAGGACAATGCTCCATCACACGCGTCCAAGTACTCCACAGCGTGGCTGGCAAGAAAGGGTATAAAAGAAGAAAAACTAATGACATGGCCACCTTGTTCACCTGATCTGAACCCCATTGAGAACCTGTGGTCCATCATCAAATGTGAGATTTACAAGGAGGGAAAACAGTACACCTCTCTGAACAGTGTCTGGGAGGCTGTGGTTGCTGCTGCACGCAATGTTGATGGTGAACAGATCAAAACACTGACAGAATCCATGGATGGCAGGCTTTTGAGTGTCCTTGCAAAGAAAGGTGGCTATATTGGTCGCTGATTTGTTTTTGTTTTGTTTTTGAATGTCAGAAATGTATATTTGTGAATGTGGAGATGTTATATTGGTTTCACTGGTAAAAATAAATAATTGAAATGGGTATATATTTGTTTTTTGTTAAGTTGCCTAATAATTATGCACAGTAATAGTCACCTGCACACACAGATATCCCCCTAAAATAGCTAAAACTAAAAACAAACTAAAAACTACTTCCAAAAACATTCAGCTTTGATATTAATGAGTTTTTTGGGTTCATTGAGAACATGGTTGTTGTTCAATAATAAAATTATTCCTCAAAAATACAACTTGCCTAATAATTCTGCACTCCCTGTATAAAGTCGCATCTTCAACTCTGCGCACGGGGTTTAAAGAAGATGTAGTTCTTAAACTTGTTGACAAAAGATCTGTTCATACGTGTTTTGCTAATTGTTGCTCAGTAACATTAAGCTTTGAAACTAAAAGTTAAGGTTTCTACTAAAGAAATTTCCCTGGGAAGCAGAAACCGGTTGAGCTCTATCATTTCCACCAGAAGTTCCCGAATTCCAGCGATAGATTATTTCCCCCTTTCCCCTTTTGTTGAACTGTATATGTAATAAGTCTTTGCTCAGGAGCTAGTATTTTCTGAAGATTGACAACCTTCCCGTGTTAACAACTAATGCTAAGTGGTCATGTATAAAAGCTTTTTAATCTTGCAATTTTTTAATGCTCTACATTTCTGAGAAACCACTACTAAAAGCAGGATTTGTTTTTAGTGTCTGACAGTAATTGAAAATAATTAGCCAGGGGGATTTTGTGTTTGGACTAACAAGAAAGTCGAAGCTTCCGAGGTTGTTAGGTCAGAATTTGAGACAATTTCCCAAATTAATTTTAGTTTAATCAGTTTAACTTGCTGGAGGAACCTTTACCCTGGGGAAGGTTCCTGGACGTTAGTTCCTGGGTGTCTTGGGAACTTTCTCTGGAAATGTGCCTTTTAGAAGCTTTTATAGTTAAACGTGAACATGATTGGGTTTTTGGGAGTAATGCCTAACCTTTGACCTGTGTATTTTGTACCCTCCATGCTTCAGTTGACCACACTGGTAAGTCTTGGCCTTGTTTCCCAGAGTGCTTTGTGTAAAAAGCCTCCTCAGCATTGTGATGTGACTACAGATTATACATACATAGCTGTGGTCAAAAGTTTCCATAAACTCATCATGGGCAGGAATGTCAAAGTAATCTTGGGCTTGAGAGGTGGTGTAGAGGCATAAGGTTGGAAAGCCTCACATTTACTCCTCCAAACACACATATTGTCATTGTGGCCAAATAGCGGTGTTCATTTTAGAGCAGGGGCTTCATTGTGGGTTGGTACCCTCTCAATCCAAGGTGGTGTAAAGCTCTAGATAGTTTATTAAAAGCCCAAAATTACTCTGGTTTTTCATGCACATAAACTTCTGACGACATCTGTAGTCTAGCACATACCACAGACCTACAGTACGGCCCCACATTTTAAGCTTCAGGCACCGTCTGCTGTGCTGTTTAAGGTCTGAACTGGAGCTTGTAGATACAAACAGGTGTTGAATTACTAATGACCTTCTATTCAGGAAGACAGCTGCCAACTTTTGATGGGATACAGCCATTGATACCTTCGTGAGGCCTGGTTGATTCAAATACCATACTCGGGTACAATTGTATGTACTTGTATTTTTATTTCCCATCACACATTATACCAATCAGACCCATCAGATGGTTTGAAGTCATCCTGGAAACTATTTGGAGAAGGGCTGGTTCTTTGATGTAATGATTAGCAGGCGATTGAACCATCTGTCTGTCACTGCTTTTCATGGGCCACTTCAACCAATCATGTCACAACAGATATGATGCCACCCACAACATTTATCTGCTGTTATATGCTGTCGTTAAAAACAGGTTGAAGTCTAGATTACAGATCCATTTGTGATCCAGCTGCCATGGAAAGCAAAGGCTATACTTTCATTAGCTGAACGGAACATTGGGCTGCAGCTTTGATCTTGCTGCCAATATTTAATGATCAAAGACGCCGATCCACTCCTACCCCTGGATAGCCCTGTTGGTGGGATTGGTCAGTTGCAATTCTGGTCCCAGAGAAACATAAATGTGATACCATAGGAAGACCACTTATGTGGCAATGTCAGATAAAATATCAGATAGAAGATTATGACACTAGTGGGTTCCCACTAAAAAACGCTTCAAGAGCTGTACACGCCCACCACCGACCCCAACCACCTCCTGCCAGCTCTGATGCAGCTTGAATTATTAATAACCAAGGTTACATCTGTGCATAAGTGAATGTTTTTCAGAAACGCCAACATGTCTGCACTTACTGAAGATTAACTGAAGATTAAGCATCTGCAGTGAACTGGTGTTTACACATAGCGTATCAGAGGAATTTGGAGGAATGTTTCCCCATTTAAAAAAAACTTATTTTATAAGCAAAGATAACCTTTGGTATTAAGAGTAAACTATGGATAAATTCAAGACAAAAATGACAGCAAATTACCTTTTGTTAAACTCTCTTTGTTCAGAGAGATTAATAACACCTTTCGTACAATTGGACTCTTAAATGTAGGATAATAAACAGTGTGGGATATTCCTTTTAATGTGTTGGTCACAGTTGTCTTTTTATCACCTTGTATCCAGGTGCTCGGATCGAGGAGTTCATCTATGACAAGCTGGACAAGAAGCTTCCCTCCAGGACGACCAACGCGGAGCTGCTGGGTCAGTACATGCTGGACGCCGCCATCGAATTCGGTTCAGACACGCCATACGGTGAGTGGACCTGCAGCTGAAACTGACACTGCTGCAGCTAATGACTCATGAAGCTCTAAATGCTCCTCTGAAGCAGCTCTCTTTCTGTTAGCAGTTAAAGAGCACACCATTTTACAACATTTTCGAGAAAACAAAAAAAAATGTGGATGTGGATGCTGCTTAAACAGCTAAAACACACTTTAGTCCAAATTGTATTTAAAAACCGATTTGATTGTTTTGTCTCCATCAAACCTGTGGTTTGAACCTGAGTGTGCTGCTGTGCTGTTGTAACTGTAGGCAAGACCCTGATCACAGTAGCGGAATACCAGAAGAGGCTCGGAGGAGCCGAGCGCGAGTTCCTCCACACTTCAGCCGTCACTTTCCTCTCACCTCTGCGCAACTTCCTGGAGGGAGACTGGAGGACCATATCAGTGAGTGTGTAGTATGAAAATATGGTAGTATATGTAAATACGGACGTGCTGATACAAAATAGGAATGAAGTCTTTGCAGCTGTAAGCATCCTTATTACATCCTTTAGGAAAGCAAAAGAGAAAGTGCCATCCCAGAATTCACAGCATCATTAAAAACAACAGTGATGTGTCGGTCGCGAATGAAACTGCTCTTAGAGCCAGCTCTTTGAAGTGAATGACGCGAGCCGTGGGTTGTTTTTTTTTTTTTTTTCTTTCTCTCACCCTCTCTCTCTCTCGCACTTTTTTCCGCTTCACTCTGCACGCGAGCCTTGTGCTTGCGCTGGGCAGAGGGGGGAGGGGCAGTAATTACACTCACAGTAGCACAGGAACAGAGCGGGAGGGAGAGAGAGAAAAAGAGCCAGGGACAACAACGTCACATTACAAAGATCATCCACAACTATTTTCAGTTGCAGATGATAAAGGATTCAGAGTTTATTCATGCAGGCCCATATGACAGAGAATATGCATCTTCTTTTTGTTTTCATATTTTAATTTATATTTAATTGTGTTGTGGTTTGCAGTGTTTTGTGTTGTTTCAGTTTAAATTTGTTTAAAAGGAAAAAGCTGAAAATTTAAATAGTTAAAAGTTGAAATGTGAATAGTTGGTTTTTGTATTATATGATTTATTTATTACATTTTATGTGGAGTGAATAAATAAAAGTATATTTACGGTGGCCCGTACAGACAAAACATGTACAAAACACAACAGAAGTGCTCTAGGATGCTGGGCGCAGTGTTGAGCTTTTGTTACCTGGTGGCTACACAAGCCAGGAAGTACCAACGACCGGATTTGGTGTGTGGTAGTAACATGTAAATGAACATTTTTTTATTCAATTTTTTGTATATATATGAGTGCTTGTGTATAAATACACAAACCATACACATATGCTTTCAATTGTGTTATTTAAGTGATCTAGGTAGCTCTGTTTTGGAAGTTCAGTTAACTCTAGGAATGTGTTTTGGAGTTTGCGTGTGCCTTGTCTCTAGGGGCCACCGTATATATTTATATATAAATAAAACCATGTTTTTTTAGATTAGTGATTCCTTTTGTGCATAATTTCATATTGTTGTTAATAATAAATTAATGAAAGCAACAAAACAACCTGAAGAGCCGGTTGGGAGTCGAAAGAGCCGGCTCTCTAAAAAGAGCCGGAAATCCCATCACTAAAATACAAACAGTCAACATGGCTGTGTGGTGAATATCATGAAAATGTTCATTAATAGTGTGTTTTTCATTTAATGCCATAACCTGCTGATATGTTTGAACCTTTAAAACCGCAGCTGAACTCTGACCTTTACACAGCTGCAATAACAGATGAGTAGGTTTCAGTGACAGCGTTGGCATGCATGATGATCTCAAGCATACCTGAAGTGAGAATTTGGACAAAGTTAAACTACTGACAAAGTTTAACTTGTAATTTGCACTTATTGGAAATCTCAGCAAGTCTCAAAATGTTAAAAATCGCAGTAATATCATATTGTGATTTGTGATAATATCGTATCGTATTGAGAGCAGTCAGACTCTCTGAGCAGCAAACCTCTCCTTTCCTCTGTCCTGACCAGTTCTTCTTCACATTTTTCCCTAACCTCATGACTTTTTCCACAAAAAAAGAGTGACTGGGAAAGGGAAAGTGGGAAAGGAAAGCAATACATAGGAAAAAGTGCTTACCAAAATAAAGCGGGAAGCTGAAAGAAAGAAGAAAATGTTCCTAACGCAAAGATAAAGAAGGGAAAGAATATCAGTAAAAATAAAATGGTGATCAAAACACAAATCCTGAACTCAGAGTCAGAGTGATGTACTCGCTGCTGAAGGTCTTCAGGGTGATGATGTGTTGCACAGGTTTGCTGCAGGTTTGATCCTCGCAGTTGTTCCTGAATGAATCTTTTTTTTTCCTCGTGCAGAAAGAGAGGCGGCTGCTGGAGAATCGCCGGCTGGATCTGGACATCTGTAAGGCACGCCTGAAAAAAGCCAAGCTGGCAGAAGCCAAAGCGGCGGTGAGATCAAATTTCAACAGTTCTTCTTCTACCCTAAGATCAGAAACCATCAGAGCACAGCCAGACTCAGACAGCTTTAAGTGAAGTCAGTCAGGTGCTCATTTTGTTCTTGTTTTGGTCACATGTTCAGAGTGCATGTGTGCAGATTCACCTCTGACATGTTGGAGAGCTTACTGGCTGGCTGCGCTGCTTGTCGCATGTTTGTCAGATTCATGAAGGAAAAGTTCCTAACGCTTCTTTATGCACCAACTCTGCATGGAAATCTTACAAACAGTCTTTTGGTTTAGTCTTTAAAAACTCCAACAGATGCAGTGGACGCCTCGTTAGCAGACGGGTTGATGGCTGCTCTGTTAACACTCGTAGAGCAGCAGATGTCTCAGCCATGACCGGATTATCAGAACTAAAGTCCAGTTCAGTGATCACTGGGAGCCTTCAGAGTTCATCTGTTCACCATCACATTGATTTTAAAGTGATTTAATCTAACACAGCTACCTCAGATTATCCTATGCATGCAGGAATGTAAGAAAACAAACACGGTAAACCTGATATTAGTTGATGCTGGTGAGCTATCTCAGACGCCTGTGGTACCAACAACTCTGAATCAGGAACAGCAGGGGGCGCCCGTGTCACAAAACAAAACATCAGTACCGGTTTACTCCGATCAAATGAGCCCTTCAGTAGTAGATTTATGACAGGGATTAATAATCTTTTACATCACAAGAGACATTTTATGGGGATTTTTGATCCTCAAAAATCTTAATGGGGCCACAAAACATATTTAAGCTTAAAAATGGAAGGTCCAATCAATCCAATCAATGTCATTCATGTTAGTAATTCAGATATTTTAACACAAGATACTTTAAGTTCAATTTTATTTCTACAGCATATTTAAAAGCAACAAAGTTGATGGAAGTTCTTTACAAGTTAGTTTAAAACAAACAAGAAAAGACCATAGACCAATAAATAAATATTATAAAGTAAGTCGTGAAAACAAACAATAAATTTAACTTACAACAAGCTAAAAAAAGACACTACCGGTACAAGATAAAAAAAAAAAAAGCCAGATGGGACTCAACATGAAACTTAATTTAAAGCAAAGGTAAACGAAGTGAGTTTGAAGACAGGATTTAAAAGAATCTCCAGCACAAATATGGAGTTTCAGGTTATTCCAGAGTCTCAGGGCTTCAACTCGAGACCTCAGCAGTCAGAGGAACTTTAGCTGCTTTAAATCTAGAAACCTGAACAGAGGTAGAGTCGGTGTAAACCTGCTAAAACCGCAGTGATGTGATCATGTTTCTAACACCTGTTAAAAGATGAGCAGCAGTATTTTGGACAAACTACAGATGAGTTTTCAAGACACACCTGTAGAGAATTACAGGCATGAATGAGGTTTTTCATGGAGGACGATAGGATTTCTAAAATTATAGAAGCTGAAAAACTTCTACTTCCAATAAAACACAAAATTTTTAAAGTGGAAGAAAAATCTACCAGCATGATCAGACCTTCCTCTGTTTGTGAAAAAAAAATCAAATCAAAAGTGTCCTTTTAGTAAACTTTAATAAATAAAACCACACAGCAGCTTTAAAAGGAGATAAATTATTCACTGTGACGTCTCTTTGGGGTCAGCAGGGGTCACAGGTTAAATGCTGTGGATGCTTCCAGCTTCAGGCTCAATGATCCGCTCTCGTTGTGGTTGCTTTGTGCTTCCTGCTAACATGTTTTTCTTTGTCTGCTCACGGTTTGTAACTGCATGACAACCTGTGTTTGTTTCCTCCTCCTTGCTCTCCTTTGCTGTAGGCTACACCTGATTTTCAGGAGACTCGGCCTCGAAATTATGTTCTTTCTGCCAGTGCATCAGCGGTAAGAGAAACGAGCAGCATCGCAGAGCTCATGGCTCACATGACAATCAAGAAACTGCATTTTTAACATGTCATATGCAAACAACTCCATAAGAAGCTAACAGCAGCATCTTTAAGTCTGACCGGCAGCTGCAGCTGTTAACACAGGCTTGTTTAACAATCGGGTCTCCATTTACCATCAACCTGTTTATGTATTTTCTTTGGTTTTACTTATTATCAAAAATTTAATTTTTCTTTCTTTTTATATTAAAATATACTAATTTCATGGCAATCACAAATGAACAAAGTGAACCGGAAGTGAGGACAGTGGGGGAAAAAACAGCCGTATGATTTTTCTAAAAAAAAAACCCAAAATGCAACAATTTCTGCATATGTTGGAAATATATGAAAATGGATTTTTAATTGTATTTTTATTTATTTTCTTTTTGAGAAAGCAACCTCACTAGTCAAATAAACAAAAATAGCCTGAGGTGAGGAAAGTGAGCCGTCATTAAAAAAAGAGCCATTCTGTCACATTAAATATGAATTTATAATTAATGACTCATCAGGTTACACAAAGGTTACATTGACAAACAGAAAAAAGCCAAATGAAAACAATTGTATCCATAATGTAGGTGCAGAAACGTACAAGTCTGATTTACTCTCTTAGTTTTAAATTATTATTATCATTATTGTTATTAATGATAATGATAATAATAACAACAATGAAACAAGCCTTGTTCTGATGGAGGTTTCTTCCTATTAAAAGGGAGTTTTTCCTTCCCACTCTCGCCAAAGTGTTGCTCATGGTGGGTGATCTGATCGTTGGGGTTTCTCCGTATTAATGTGTCTTTAATTTACAGTGTAAAGAACGTCGAGGCCGCTGTTATTGTGGTGAAATAAAACGGAAATGAACTATCACTCCCCTGATACTAGTACTGCTACTGTTATTAGTGCTGCTACTGCTTCTGCTACCAGTCTTGCTATCAATATGATTTCAGCTACTGTAAAATAGAATTTCCCAATAATGGGCAGAAATACTATTTATTATTCTTTTTTATTATTATTATTTATGTATTCTTTTTTCTTTTTTTTTTGCTTGCTTGAGAAAAGGAAACCCAATAAGCTAAAGGTTTTGTGTTTCACTGCTTCAGTTTTTTTTAATGGTTCTCAGATGTATTAAAAAAACTGTTCAAATCAAAATGTAGTTTTGCCACAGCTGTATTAGCAAACACTGCAGGCTGCTGCTGTCACTAACAATTTGCTGCTTAAATGAAAGTTAAATAAACAGAAAAGGGGGAAAAAAAATCTAATTTCATTACCAGGATCTCAGATTTTTAATCTGAGCAGCATTTTTCTGCAATTCGCACTCAAAAAGTTTTTTGTTTTTTTTTTGACTGAAACGCACACGTGACAGCTTTTTAACCCAGTGAGATCCTGACCTGTTGTTTTTAGAGGACAACACAAGAGTTTATTTCTTTACTTCTGCTGGAACGTTTATAATTTCAAAGAAAGCTCAGGGATGAACAATAGGAAGGTATAAAAATGAAAACACAACACAGCATGTAATCTAAACCTGGCCGTGTCTTCTCAGAAGAAAAGCTGTTTACAGAAGTCTGTGAGCACAGATGAGGAACACAAAGATCTGAAAGTGAGATTTGTTTTATCTCAGCTGAACCCATCAGGACTCTGGAGTTTACACTTCACTGGCTCCTTTATTTTGTGCTAACACCTAGAAAATAAAAAGTTGTCAGATTGCAGATTTCACAGCATGAGTGATCTTTCAGGGCTGTGTTTTGAATGTTTAGTCAAGCATGTGGTGTTAGCCATGAGATAACCGTGTTTGTGCATGACGTGTTACAGATGACACAAGCATGTTTGAGCATGGTTATTATTGTTTAGTTTTGGCTCTGATGCTTTTTAAATGAGGCCTTGTTGAAGTTTATTGTACGTCCATGTGAAATAAAACAAAAACGGCAGCTTCAGCTCAAACAGAAACACCGCTCAGCAGAACCTGGAAGAAGCATGGACTTTTATTTTGAAAAATCACTGTAATTCATTGGAGTCATAAGTTCTTAATTATTTTTATGATCAAATCACATTCCCTGATAAATACAGTCCCTGGGATCCTTGTCACTTTATATTCAACTATCTTGTATTTGTAACCTGCCTGATTTTTATGGCTTCATTTACGATCGTGGCTCAAGAGTTGGGAGTTCACCTTGTAATCGGAAGGTTGCAGGTTTGAGCCCCGGCTTGGACAGTCTTGGTTGTTGTGTCCTTGGGCAAGACACTTCACCCATTGCCTACTGGTGGTGGTCAGAGGGCCCGGTGGCGCCAGTGTCCGGCAGCCTCGCCTCTGTCAGTGCGCCCCAGGGTGGCTGTGGCTACAATGTAGCTGCCATCACCAGTGTGTGAATGTGTGGATGAGTGGTTGTGTAAAGCGCTTTGGGGTCCTTAGGGACTAGTGAAGCGCTGTATTTGTAATACAGGCTATTTACCATTTATTTTACCATAAAATTAAAATATCCTTAAAGAGCCTCTGTGCAAAGCCTCAGTTCATGCTCAGTCTGAAACAAGCCTTTTTAGCTCCTCCCCCTTTCAGAGGGCTTTCTTCTGATTTAAGCAGAAGTGGTTGGAGCTTCAAATACCTGGTTTACAGTCGACTTAAACCTGAGGTTATACCTTCATGTTGTTATTTATTGGCCGTGTTTAATATTAGTGCTGGAAATGTATGTGACAGGAAATAATCTGTTATGTTATTTCAGACAGTTACAGTGTTTATGCAGCGTATGATTTTTTTTATTTATTTTTGATTTTTTGACCCCCTCTGTGGTTTCATTAAACCAGCTGCAGAGCGGCTGGGAGAGCTGGGACGTGGAGCCCGACCCAGTCGTGTCAGAGCAGAGGAAGGTTGGACACGTGGAGAGACTAGAAGTCCCGTGTTTGTTTAGTAGTTTGGGTAGAAAATACATGTTTTTTAGGGTGTTTCATGGTTATTTCCCCCCCTGTTTAGAATTCATGGTTGTTTTGTTCCCTCCCTTTGTTATTTTTAGAGCGCACAGAACACAGAGATAAACTAGGCATCGGTTAGGACACTCTCAGAAGATCAGATTTTAGGAAATTCACTGATTACTTTTGCAGATTGAATCAGCAAACTAGACCAAAGAGATGTCACACAGTTTCCACTGACGACTTTTCTGGTAAATTTGGGAAATAAATTAACTTTATAAAAATCTGTGAAGCTGGAGAAATGTAATAAATTGTATTCTTTGTGTGACACAAGATAGGGAGGACCGTACCTTTTATTCACAAAAAGAGCCTCAAGGTTACCGTTTCATTCATCCCAAATGGACAGGGGAATTTTTTATTTTAATGTTAATAACATTATAACAGACATGCAGTGTTTTAAAAAAATATATCATAGCCTCTTTAAATTTTTCACATTCAGACCAACACGTTGTTCAAAATGTTTTACAAATAAAAATCTGTGTGGCCTGCGTATGTATTCAGGCCCCTTTACTCTAACAGCCCTAAATAAAAGAGGTCGTCTAATAAATAAACAGAGTCCAGAGTATGTCCTTTAATCTCAGTCTAAATACAGAACACGGTTCTGTGACAGCCTCAGAGGAACATTAGAGAACAAACCGCATCGTGAAGACCAAAGAACTCACAATTTTTCACATAAACTAGTATAAACCTGCACACAGGGATGCACATCTACATGAAGTATCTGTCCATAAAGTCTTTTCAAAGCGAAAGATGCTCCCTCCCTGCTACAATACTGCATGTTTACCACCGGGGGGCGCATCTCCACACCAGTTCCTCCAGTCTTCAGCATCTGCAGAATGCAGAGTAAAGGTCGTGTGAAGTTCAGCAGCAGCTGCAAGAGGTGCGTCATCGCTGTGTTTACAGTGCATTTGAGGTCATGCTTTCCCTTTACTCAGCATCTCCTGTAACTCAGGTTCACTCAGTGAAATGATGCGTTTAAGTCTTAATTATAAACATTAGCACAGTTTATATCGCATGCTGTCGTCATAGCCCGGGTAGAAGGGCATGAATTTGGGATCATTTCACAGGGAGACCAGATCCCAACGAACCAAAAAGTGTTTGCAAAGCAAAGTGTGTAAAGGTAGCTAATGCAGGGTTTGGCATTACTAACACAAACAAAAAACTGCTTTTATTTGATTTAAATGTTTCCTTTCTGTACTGGAATTGTTCAGCAGCGGGGTTTCCCCTGTGATTTCTGCTTTCAATGCAAACAACAAAAAGCAATTTGTTGTTTCTCATTTGGAAGGTGACTCACACGATTTTATCCTTTCCCTTTGTAATCCATCTCACTTCTCCCACAGCACAGGATAGCCCCACCCACCAGTCTTATTTACAAACGGAGATTCCTGCCTTGGCATCTTTTTATAGCTCTGTGTGCTGGATGATGAAACTTGAGCATTATTTTCCAACATGGGAACATTTAAAACCTGCAAAAATCCTCAGAGTCCCACTGCGTCTCGCTAAGTAACTGAAATAAATTTTTGTTTTGGTCTTGCTCCATTTTATATGTTGCTGTTAAAACTGCTGATGCCGGTTGTTCCAGCGGCCGGTTGTTTTTTTTTTTTTTTATAAATAGCATGCTAAGGAAGAGTAAGCTATATAAATGATGAATGAAGCACTTGCTAATACCTCAATACTCTGACGTCATTATAAAGTGCTGCCAAGTTGTTTATTCTGATGTGTGCATTAGTAGATTTGTTTAGGCACAGAGGGCCAAAGGGTTTGTGGGAATGTAATGCAGGCTCGACCCCAAGTAAAAGATGGGATGTTCTGAGAAGATAGAAGTTAAAGTTAAGTGGGCTAAATAAACTTAATTAAAGTATACTTTTCTTCCATAGTTTGTGCCTAAAAATTGCCAATAAAAATTACTTTAAATCCACCTTAAATCTACCCTGATGGCTGCTTTCCCCCTTCCCTGTGTGAAACTAAAGCCCTAATGCAGATTTAGCTGTGTCTACCAAGATAATCTGCTCATCCTGACTTTTTCTTTCTTTCTGTCCTTGCCACACTCGTCTCAGCTGCTCAGTGAGGAAGTGGACAAAGTGAGTACCGTCACCAGCAGGAAGCGCTCTCTAGATTTAAAGCATGACTCGTGTTGTCAGCTTCCTTGCTTCCTCTCGTCTTGTTTTCCAGGCAGAACACGAGCTTCGCGTAGCCCAGACGGAGTTCGATCGCCAGGCTGAGGTCACCAGGCTGCTGCTTGAAGGCATCAGCAGCACACATGTGAGTCACCGCAGGCCAGTCACCCCACTGGGCTCCTGTTAAAGGCCTGGCGGTGTAAATCACTTGAATGTTTTTGTCAAAATATTGCAGATGAACACATAGGAACCAAATCATGTTATTCTCACGGTGATCTTAAATTGGTTTTAAATAAGCTTGAAATGAAATGCATGAAGGCAGACAGCTTTTAGGTGCCAGATAAAGCTTTGTTGATGTTTACACATGTTTACACATCAACGAAGCTGGCAGGCTTTAGAAACCTTTTGAACTGTCTGGATTTTTATCCAGTCGATGGTGCTGAGAAACTTTTATGTGAGCCCACCCTTCAGGCGGAGAGGTTTGTGTGGGAGTTTGGGAGCATTTCAGTGGCCTGACGTCATCTTTGTGTCTGTGTGTTTATATTGTAATATATGTGTTTATTTTTAATAAAAGTACACACACACACACACACACACACACACACACACACACACACACACACACACACACACACACACAC